CCAAGTCTCCTGGATGGCTATTATGTCTGCTCCTTGCGCCATTAATGTTGCGAGTTTTGACGGCGTGAGGCGTGAAACGTTCATCTGGAGTACTGCTATGGGGCCTGGTTCTGCTCAATGTCTCCGCTTAGCAGTAGCTTTTGTCGTTGCGCGTCACATACGGCACGCAAAAGGTATGTATAGCGCTGATAAGCGCCGATGGAATTCAGCAGCGGATGGAAATACCGCTCCGCGGGCAGCCATGTACATGGCTCCATCTGGTGCCCTTCCGACCCGTTTGAGCGGCGCCTACCGCCTCTCCGCGTGCAGCGGATGGGCAGCAGGCGCTTAGCTTCCTCTCTAGCAAAGAGTAGTATACCCTGGCACCGCGTTTGGGTGGCCGGCTGAGCCAGGCCCCTCCGGCCATCATTCGCCTAGTCGTGGGTAATGGCGTTTCGGATCCCGACCATGTGCGAGATCGCGGGGGCCATCGCGACGTTTATCGTGGGGTGCTGGAGGGAAAAGTCGGGTGCCCGCCCTTCGCGAAGCACGGCGGCCACCCGCCGCAACCACTTTTTTCCTCTTTGGCCCGCAGCGTGTCAGCGCGTTTTTTCGCCTCGCTGCCGGCGGCTCTTCCGCTTGTCTTCGTGATGCGCGGGCCCCTTTGCCGCTTGCGGCGCTTAAAAAGTGTCGCACCGCCGCGGCCGCTTTCCGAAGATGTTGTCTGGTTTGGTGGCGGCACTTGGCGGGCAAGGGGTCAGAAGCAACCTTCCGAGGCGATGCTGTATTGAGCAGGGCTTCCTTTTTTTTGCGCAGCGTTTTTTTTTCATTGTGTGAAAGTTCTTTTTTTAACGTTTTTATGTGGGTTTTGGGTGTTGCGGGGCGGCGGATCGCTAATCGCTTGGCGGGCGGATGGCGCTCATTATGCTTCATTGCTGGTTTGAGTTTTTGTTGTTTGTGCCTGTTTTTACTTTTATTTATTTTTATCTCGCCGTCCCACCCACACCCTTTTCATTCGCCACATCACGGCAGCGTCTTTTGTTCGGGGGACCCCAAAGCCCGCCACTTTGTAAGCAATTATGTTCTGAGTACAAAAGGTAACTTGTGCGGTCAAAAAATGTATTTGTGGTTAATCGGAAGAAATCGTTTGGGCATTCAGCCGCCTCTGCGTTACCCCCTTTTTCCCTGTCTTGTTTGGTTTAAACAGATAATTGCAGGATACCGCCAGCGGCGCAGAAGATTATTCTATTTTTTTTAAATTCACAGACACAGCGAGGTTGGCTTAAGGAAATGGCGATGGTTCCTATTAAACGGCCTCCGAGTGGAGCGATATTGGCGCCCGACATTCAGAATTGGTACGCCAACATGGCGCTGCCCAGGCGCAGCTCACCTTCATTGATGAAACCGGGAATTCGGATGCGACGTTAACCACGGCCGCCTCAACGACAGAATTGCGCATGGATTTCGGGACCCACCACCAAACCCTGGGCGGATTCGAGCCTTACAGGACATTTTGCGAATCCCCGGGAGCCCCAAGTACCAAATTTTGAGACCCGATCGCCCCTGCCCATCGTGCGGGCCCGGCCCGGGAGTTGGGGGCCCATCGAGGGCCCATCATCGCGGAAAGAGAGCGCCTGGGCACGGACCACGCCCACGCCATCGCGGGCGCGCGGGATCGAAACACCGAGCTTCACACGCGGGCGGAAGAGGCGCATAGTAGCCTATCGGTGCGCGAAGCTGACATCGCGGTCGCCGGACGCGAACAGCAGTTGGAGGCGACCCGCGCCCAACTACAGGAACGAGAGGCGCGCGCTGGCGCCAGAGAAGCGCAGCGAGCCGCGCGGGAGGCGGAGACGGCGGGCAGGGAAGAAGCTCCCACCTCTCGGAGAGGCCCGGCAGATGGACCTGACACGCGTCAAAATACGGTCGGAGATGGTGTCACCAAACAACCGCAGCGTCCGACGCGTCGTTTGGTGGTTGGGGACGCGCCGCCACGCACGGCCCGACGAAGCCCGGCGAACGAGAGACGGTGGGTTATTCCTCATTCGTCCCAGGGCAATTTTGGGAGACTGCGTTTCTATCCCTCCATTGCCTTTGCCCTCTTACACCCTCCCCTCGGACGCCCATTCTGTCACAGAAGAAGCGGAACGAAGTTTTCGCGCGTTCGACGCCACTTCTCGGGCCGCACGTGTGTGGAATGAGGGCGTTTCCGGAGTCGTTGTCGACCTCCGGGGCGCATACAATCATTGGCATCAGGCGGGCGGCCAGGCTGAACCTCCCTTTGGCAGTTTGGCTTTGTGGACGCGCGCGCGCTGGAAGCGGAGCGCGATCCCGCCGATCGTTTCTTGGATTTTGGCCGGACCTTACTGCAGGCATTCCGGACGCAGCTCATGACGGCGTCGGACCCCAACACCCCGCTCTCCAAACAGCGCGCCCGACTTCCCACCGCCGTTCATGAAGCCGACGCCTTTGCGAGGGCAGCCCGGCCTCTCGCGGAACGGGGAGGGGCACAACGACCGTGCGACGTCAGCGGCGTCGCATTTGTGGGCGCGAGGCGCTCGCACGCAAAGCCCGAGGCGCGGCCAGAAGGAATCAATCGCGACGCGGACGGCCGTCAACAACGGCGGCGGCCCCACCCATGCCGCCACCACCCGCCGTTCCGCACAGGCGTCGCGCCGAACCTCCACCCGATATTTCAAATTGCCCGACGCAATCGCCGAGAAGGGCGAAGGGGCTTTTTCGCCAACGGAGCCCGACTGTGGTGCGACGGTGCTCCGGCACCCCGCTTCGGGCCGGCGACACGAGGAGGGTGAACAAGGTGGCTCGGGAATTGTTTGCGACGTCGGCGTGGGAGCGGAGAAGGTCGCCGGCGGGCGCCTCACAACCCTCCGCCGCACACGCGGACAGCCGAACAAAGAGGCGAGCCGCACGGCCTTTTCGATGGCAACCGACGACGTGGCGCCACCGACCCGACTACAGTACGCCAGGATGCCGCGGCCCATGTCGCAAATGAATCGGACTCCGCTGGGCGTGGCGGTTCTGGGGTTGCAAAAAATCGCGGCGCGATCGGAGACGAAGCGGACGCGCCCTTTAAAAAGGAAGAGGCGGATCAATTTACCCGCTGCCGGGCCGAATGGAAGTGACGGGTTGCATTCCGACTTGCGCGGATGACGGCGAGTCGTTCGACCTTCCAAGGACACAGCGCGATATTCGGGGAAGCGCGCCACAACGCCGGCTCAGGCGTCGTCGCTGGCCGCGTTGGTGTGAGGGGGAAACTGCGGAAGGGCAGGAATCCTGGCCGACAGCAGAGGAACGTTTTTTCCGTGGTTTTTATCACCGCCCCGCCGCAATCACAAGACTCGCGGCAAGGACGCGTCTGGCGGTCCCCTTTTCCCCAGCCCTCCGCCACATCAGACGAAAGCCCACGGAGGATTCCAGTCGACGACGCGCGATTATTGAATTAAGTGGGAACAATTGAGGACGCCTATTCTGCGATAACGGGTGGATGGATAATACCCTTTTCGTTTGTTTGCGGAGGAAAAAACCGCCGGTTTTCGACGACGAAGGATCGCGTGGCCACGCGACAAGAACAGAGACGTTCCTTGCGAGGCTCATGTTCCTTTTTTGCGCATTTCCCATTATTTGCCGCCTGTGATGGCTGAGGCCGCTTCCTGCCTGAACTTAAAGGCATCCTTTTTCAACTCTTTTTACCGCGGGAGACTTGGTATCTCTTTCGATGCCGCGTGGAGGACGGCACGCTGGTGGAGCCCACACGGCTCCCAATGGGATGCAAGGCCAGCCCAGAAATTCTCCAGATGATTGCTTCAGCAATTGCGGGGGTGACGACGGTGGTTTACCCTCTCTGGGCTGCGCCTCCATTGTTGTGCGTCGACGTTTGGATCGATAATATGCGCATTGCAGGGTCGAAAAGCGACGTGACATTGTGGGAAGCCCAAGTGCTTCGTAATGCGGACGGCCGTCACGCCACGATGGGGGAGGACCGCGAATCGAGCGCCACGCAGCACACCTTCCTGGGGGTGCGGTTTGATCACTCACTCCATACAGTGTCGCTGAGTGAGAATTTGTTCGGTCTGTGCGCGCCGTGCCGTCGCTGAAGTATTTAACCATCTCGGAAATGGAGGTATGGCGTCACGGTTTTTGTACGCGGCTGCCATTTTGGGCACGCGTTTATGTGACAGCTACTCTTTCATCAAGGCAGTGCGACGACGATTATCCGCACTTAACCGGGGAATTGTCCGGGAGACATCCCCGGCGAACCTTCCGCCGGCAGCGGTTGGTTTGGATGAGAGAATACGACACATCATCGAGAATATAATCGCAAGCGAATCATCAAGCCCACGGAAAAGGCATCGGCCGCCATCATCACGGATGCATCGCTCCATGGTTGAGGAGCCGTTTTCATTCCAGACTCCGGCGACGTTAAAATAGCCGGAGGGAAATGGGAAAAGAGGAATCCTTTTCTTATCATGCAGGCCGAGACGCGCGCGGTACGCTTAGCCTTATCGGCCTTTTCCGCCATCTTGCCATCCACCATGGACGTTTGGGTGGACAACACTTCGCTGCGAGGAGCGGCGAATAAAGGCAACTCGAAATCACACGCGTTGACGTGGGAGCTGCAACGGATATATGAGTTTGTTGGCTCTCGCGGAGTACAGGTATCTTTTGCATACGTACGGTCTGCAGAAAACTCCGCAGACGGCATATCACGCTGTCGTGTTTTTACACTTTAGGACTTGGCGAAGGGTGGAACGTGCGAAGGGGAGCGGCGGATTCTTGTGGTTGGCGGACCCCAAATTCTGCCACTTCGTAAGTAATATTATTTCAGATCCTACCTGAGTTCAAAAGGTCAATTGAACGGTCAAAAGAATATATATATAATTAGAAGAAAACAACATTGAGGCAATTAACTGCCTCTTCGATACCTTCCTTTTCCTTCCTATCCTGTTTGTTTCCTTGGGATAATTTCAGGATTCAGCCAGCGGCCCAGAAGATCATTCCATTGTGGAAATGCGAAACGGTCGCCAGATGACCAATCCATCCACCCACGGTGGGCTTTCTTTTTCACCAGTGTCCAAATAATATCGAACGTCGGTTTGCCCATCATGCCTCCACTGCCTCCCGAAGGGCATTTGATTGCATGGCCTTCCGCTTTTCTGTGCCAAAATACCCGACCCCCTTTGTGTAAAAGCAAAAAATCACAATAAATAAAAATAGAAAAAAAAAAAAAAAATTATAAACGCGTAAATAGGCACGGCAAAGAAAGATACAGAACATGTGCCTGGATGAGGCTTACCCCTCCCATTCCTGCAAGGAGAAAGTGCAAAAACAACAACAATAAGATTGCATTTTGATTCATTAATTCCGACGCTCTCACCTTTAATAGGACTCTTCCAACGCCCATACTTTCATACAAAGAGGGATTCAAAAGATATGTGGCCATGCTCAATGGGCTCTCGCTGTGAACTCATGAATTGACGAGTCTTCAGGGTCCCGCAACAACCGGATTCCTCCCGCGTAAAGGGCAGTAGCGAATGGGTCGGTTGCGAGGGAAAAAAAACCGCACTCCCTGCGGCCCGATGCAGTAATAGTGGAAAACAGAAAACAAGTGGCACACACACACAAAGGAAAAGAATTGTCAAACAAAATACACTATTATCTCAGCCCCATCGGGTCGCATATTCTTTTCAAAAAAGTCTCTATCACTTCGCCCCCTCCCCGCCATTGCGCTCAACAGTGGGAGGGAAGGGATCGTATGTAACGTTGTCGGGAAGGAGGAACGGGAGAGTTTTGGAAGCCGTTGTCAAGAAGCATTCGTTGCGGTTTTGTCCTTTTCTTTTCAGAGAGAAAACAATAAAATAAATAAATAAATAAATAATTAATTAATAATATATGAAAGTAAAAAATACACAAATAAATACAATAATAATAATAGTCATAAACCGCGACGCATGAGCAGAAAAGAAAGAAGAAATAAAATATCAGAGCAGCGGTGATTTGGTTTGACGGCTGCACGGCTCCACAAAAAACCCTCCTCCACTTTGTTTCTCTCCCCCATGAAAAAAGAAACACAAGAAGGGAAATTCCCACCGCTAAATTTTCTTTTTTTCTTTTTTTTTTTTTTTCGCCGATACGAACGCGCGCACGCACGCAAATAAAAAGAGGCAAGTAATTACGTACACGATGCTACGGAAAAGAAATACAAACAAACGGAATATACAAACATACATACCCATTGGTGTTGATTGTATCGTTTGCTTCCTTTTTAAATTTCTTTTTCAAAAAATTTTTTTTTTTCTCGACAATTTCTGTTCTTCTATAAAATAAAAATAAAAACAAATAAATGCTTC